GGAAATCGGTGTGAACTTGAGCTGAAGGGCCTGTGACCTGTGGATGAGTCCAGGATGGAGCAGAGACCCCCCCCCCTGCAGCCTGGGGAGGAGCCCACGCCGGAGCAGGGGGTGCCCAAAGGAGGCCGAGAGCCCGTGGGAAGGCCCTGCAGAGCCTCGGAGAGAGGAGCCCACACAGAACAAGCTCCTGCAGGACTTGTGACCCCGTGGGGGACCCACGGTGGAGCAGCCTGTTCCCGGGGGACTGTCTCCCGTGCCAAGTACCCCACGCTGGACGGAGCAGACACGGACTCCACTCTATCCCACGCTGGACGGAGCAGACACGGACTCCTCTCCCTGAGCGGGAAGCAGCGGTGGGACCCCCATCCCCCTGTGCCGCGGAGCGGAGGGAGGGAATAGCGGATAAAGTGAAGTCCGTGAAGGAGGGAGAGGTGGGGGAAGGTGTTTTATTAGGATTCGTTTGGCTTCTCATCCTCCTGCTCGGATCTGAGCCGTTCCCAATCCCATCAATGTCGGGTCTTTGTGACAGCAATCGAGCAATGCCCTGTTCCTGCCCCCCGGCCCGGGCCGCGCCACAAAATGGCGGCGGCAGAGCTCGAGTCCCGTCATGATTGGCTGCTTCTCCCGTCACTTTTCGCCCTCGCGCGCTGATTGGTCGGATCGAGCGGGCACTGCCCCCTCCCTTCGTCTTCCGGGCCGGGGCAGCGGCAGCAGCGACCCGACGGCGCTGAGGCGGCGGCGGAGCTCGGAGGCGGCCCCGGCGCAGGTGGGACCCGCGCTCGGTCCTGCCGGGGCTCAGGGCTCGCTGCGGGCGGAGGGGGCGGGAGGCGCCGCGGGAAGCGGGGTCTGGCGGGCTCGGCCTGCCCCGGGCGGGGCGGTGTCGGCGGCCCTGGGGAGCGGGGTCTGGCGGGCTCGGCCCGCCGTGTCCCCCCGTGTCCCCTCCCCAGGGGCCGCTGAGGGAGCGGCTGCCCGCGGGCTCCTCCTTCCCACTGAGCCTCGGCGGGCTCGGAACGGGTTTGTGCCTCGGCCTTGGCCGCAAACATCGCATTCGTTCCCGGGGCTGCGACACACTCGAGAGACACATTGAGTCGTTATTGTTTCAGAGTTGGCTGCCCGGGGCTGTTTCACAAGTCAAGCACCAACTCATAAGGCTTTTTACTATTTCTACATTTTAGCAAACAAAGCAAAACAAGCTTGTAAGCAGCTGCGAGACATTCAAGCTCGACAGAACGCTTGCTGTTTTAGACTCAGCTGCTTTCCCTCCTGCAGGCTCTTGGAGAGACAGGGGGTGGTCTCAGGTGGGTCTGAAGGGCCGTCCAGCACCTTGTGGGGTGACCGGAGGGGGGGGGCGGATGGGATTTGGGACTGAAAACACCTCCCAGCTGTGCAAGTCCTTGGGATGACACCTTTCCAGGTGTGGTGGTGCATCCCCACACCCCCCCAGACCTCCCTGTGATCTGAGA